TCATCTTCAACTTCATAGCAAACACTGTCATGGATACTAAACATAAAAGGAACACATTTTATCTTGACCCTCTTATCGCTTGTATATTAGTAACTTGTCTCAAGGTATCGTCCAACAGTATTAACAATTCCCCAATACATTCATAAATCCTAGTAATCATTAACTCTTGGTTATTTCATAATAATTCATTTTAAACATTCAAAAACTCGATCATCTTTCTCATAACTTCAAATTCCTCAATCTGGTTGTTATAGTCCATAACTCATCTTTAAGGAAACTCATTAATATCTCAATGAAAATCATTTATTATTCCATCACTGATAACTTCTCTATATCAATTAACTTTGTCGGCAATCCCTTAGAATAAAATCCTTTGAGTAACCATCCAAACAATACTACCTTTAACTAACTTCAATAAATCCCTTCACAAGATATTATTTCTTCAAAATAAACTTCAATTTAAAACAAAACCAATATGTCAAATACATCCTTTCACTTGAATTTACTCAAAATCCTCTAACTTTTGTATTAAGTTTCTTCAAAGATTCAACCATCATCCATAATAACCACAATACTCATCCTCACACCATGTGGATATTTTCCACCATTAGATACAAACTATCATAAATTAATATCCAATTCATATCTCCCAAAAATACATACCTTACTCCAACACTTATATAGATCTAGTTCAACTACTCATCATTACCATAGATAATATCTCCTTGCACAACATAAATCATATTCCAAAAATTAGTAAAAACTTGATAGCACAAATCCTCCAAATATTCATGATAACAAACTAAAATAACTCCTCATTTATTCCATAATAATCATAAAATCCTTTAATCTCAAAAATAGTAACTCAACCATATTGACCACATGTAACACTCGTATGATCCAAGTACTTGCATTGCAACATATCCAAATTATACATCTCATAAAGGGTTAAGGACAGAGTGACAATTCCAGTTATGAACTCACTAACTGTGACTCCATTATCTTTCAAGTAATGCAAGTTAAAGTAATACTGTCTTATTTCATCAATCCTTTCCATCTGTTTCACACACACATGCAAAACAATTAATTAAATGTCAAATCACACAAACAATTCAATTCAAAATCCATTTGCAATAAGCAATTCATAACTCAATCAACTAAGCATAACTTAAGATTACCCAACCATGGGTAATAACTCAAAAATTTCGGACCTCTTGATAATTCCCTAAGGTGTTTTAACACCAACTTTAATGCACACATAATCGCATACTCAAGTTTTAAATATTTTCAATTCTTTTAATTTTTGAAAATAATAAATATGTACTTGAATCATGATTATAGAACGGTCGAACCTGCATCTCCCAGGAAAGTTACCTACGACGTTGAGGCGAGCCTTACCTAGACAGAGATTCGTACCCATTATAGGCCTCCGTAGAGAAATCAACCATACTTTTCTCATTCATCTTTCCAAAAATAGGAAAATAGTTTTATATAAAAATAAAGATTTTGACTCTCACACAAATGCGAAACTCTATCTATCCTATACGCCCTTCTTAAATCTACCCACAATTTTTATAATTACTCCAATTTAATATTTTTAGGAAAACTGATACCACTTTGTAACATCCCCAAATCTCCCTCTACGGAAATACTAGTATAATACGTATAATTATACCGTAGAGATAGACTTGGGAGTATTACCGCCACGTGATTACGCAAGGCTACTCAAAATACTTAACTCAACAGCAAAACTTGCAGCGGAAACTCAACTTTCTTTTATTAATACTTAAAAATAGTAACATTTTTATGAATTGCTCAAAAATAAAGACAAGACAAACATTCCTAAACTAGGTGAAGCAAATCCCGAGACTCCCATATACTCATTCTTGACTCCACCTGAAAATAGTCAACACTGCTTACCATTACGGTAAACAAGGCGAACAAAAACAAAAAGGAAATACGGATTAGCAAAATATGCTAAGTACGATAAGTGCAAGATAATGTAAACTCAATTTATTTGCAAACATTCTTACAAAACCAATTCCAATAATTAATACAATAAATTCAAAACTCATTATTCCAAAACCGATTCCAATGATTCATATTCAAAATAATAGTTAATAAAACCAATTTCTTTATTAAGAACCAATTCCTTTTAATCCAATTCCTCACCCAAGTGTGCACACCCCCCAAGCAAGTCTCCTAATGTTACAAGACTATTCTTGAGGAAAGACCTGGTCATACAAAGTCCAAGGCCTTATCAATAAACGAAATCCGCATAGTGGGATTACTAACATGCTTATAAAGCATTAATAATAATAAAAATAATAATAATAAAAATAATAATAATAATAATAATAATAATAATGATAATAATAATAATAATAATAATAATAATGATAATAATAATAATAATAATAATAATAATAATAATAATATTAATAATTCTATGGTTCAATAAATCCTTTTAATATCTAATAGTTCTAATATAATTCAAAATCCTTTTTAATTAATTCCATGATCGAGGGTTAGATAAGTCGTTAAACTACTACCGAAATCAAATTAATCATTTATAATACATAAACTTACACCAACCTATTTAGTGGCAAGTAAAGGGTCGAACCACTAAGGAAGCTCACTAATTCAACATCAATATCAGTAAAAAGGGGATCGTTTTTGTTGGTTTTTGAATAAAGAGCACTAAAACTACAAATAAGCAAAGAAGATGATGATTAAAATCCAGATAGAACGACGCTAGGGATACAGGGGTGTCAAATATGATTAGAAAGAGGGTAATAATAATGATTATCATGAAGAACATGCCAAATAACACAAGATTCTACCTAAACAATTCATTCTTATGCAATAGTCTAGGCAAATCAATGAAAAAGGTCTATACTAATAAGGATCATTCTCATGCATCCATAAAACTCCAATGTTGGGTATTTATACTAACTAAGGAAAATAGAAAATAAATAAATAAAGAAAAATAAAGAAAGGTGAAACAAAGAAAAAGGGAAAATAAAATGAAAATAAGAAAAAGAAAGTGAAAAGAAAAAGAAAAAAAGAAAATAAAAAGCAAAATAAAGCAAAATCCTCCCAGAAAAGTCAGACCCCCAATTCTTCTCCTTTCAAATCTCAACTGCTATTTGTCGCTCCCAATTTACCAGGTAACGCTCCCTTTTTGACTTGAATGGACCATTATGCCCTTTATGCAATTTGTGTTATAAAAAGGACCTTGTTCCCCATTTGGACACCATACATGAAACGGTCCCCTCACTTCACGACATTGCTGTCCCGAGCCTCCCAAAATCGGTCCACACGGCCTTGCAACCAAATCGGTCCCCACGACCACCTAAATGTTCTATTTTTAAAAATCGTGAAATTTTCCGACGGGTCTTGGGTCATGGACGGCGAGTGGAACATACGTACGCTGGAGAATGCGTCGGATCATTCTGTAAGTTTTTTTATTTTTTTTATTTTCGGTAATTAGGACATCCGCCTAAAATTTCCGGATGTCCTAGGTACATCCGCCTAAAATTTCCGGATGTACCATGGAACATCCGGAAATTTCAAGCGGAAGATGGGATCCGCCTAAAAAATCCGGATGTTCCATGGTACATCCGGAAATTTTAGGCGGATGTACCAAGGGACATCCGGAAATTTTAGGCGGATGTCCCTATTCATATTTTTTTTAAAATGTTAAGTACGTTTATTTAATTTTTTTTATGTTTATTAAGTTTTTTTTTTGATGTAATTTTTTTTTCGTGGTCTTGTGATTATTGTTGTGATTTAGTATTTGATAATTAATGTAATTTTGTTGTATTAATATGTTAATTAGTAATATGTTTATTTTTTGTTTTATTATTATTATTATTATTATTATTTTTATTTATATTATTATTATTATTACTGAAAATATTATTATTATTATTATTATTATTATTATTATTATCGTAGTTGTTGTTGTTGTTGTTGTTGTTGTTGTTGTTGTTGTTGTTGTTGATATTATTGTTGTTGTTATTGTAGTTGATATTATTATTGTTGTTGTTGCTGTTATTTTTATTGTTGTTGTTGTTGATATTGTTATTATTAATTAGTAGAAATTATTTTATTATTATTATTATTATTATTTATTAAGTAATGTTATGGTCTTATAAATTGTTTTGTAGTTGTTATTATAATTTTTTATTATCATTAATATTGTTATTGTTTTGTATTTGTTGTTATTGTTATTAGTATTGTTATTATTATTATTATTATTATTATTATTATTATTATTATTATTATTATTATTTTGACATAAAGCATGTTTTGTTTAATTTGTATAGGATATGGAATCCGAGGAAGGCGGTGACGGTGTGAATTATAGTGGGAATTTTGTCACCGATACGTTTTTTCCTACCTTTGACGATGCAGTTACATGGGCTGATGGTGTTTCCATAAAATTGGGATTTATATTGGTGAAATCGTCTTATAACAAAACCAGAGATGGTCGGCCGTATCGGTATTTGCGATGTGATCGGTCACGAAGGAGCAAGCCGAGAGATTTGGAGAACGCGGTACGGAAGGACACCAAAACCAAAGCTAATGGTTGTCCATTCTACATCAAGATATATTATGATGTGAGCACCGAAAGTTGGAAGATCATTGCGAAAAATGATCACACCGGGACACATAACCACCCAATGATTGTGTACCCAGAGGGTCACCGTAAAGTGAGAGGATTGAGTCCGGGTGCAAAACAGGTTGTGCGGGACATGACAAAGTCCAAGGTTGCTCCCCGTAACATCATGTCCACTATTGCCGAGTAATTTCCTGATGATCATCTAAACATCCGACACATTTACAATTGCCGAAATGACTTCAGGATGGAGATGTCCGAAGGAAGAGGAGTTGTTCAGCAATTTCTTCATCTGGCGAGAGAGAGTAAATACATTTACTGGGTCACGAACGATGATCACAACGTTTTGCAACATGCATTTATGGTGCACCCGATCATGGTCAACATACTCCGCACATACCCACATGTCATAGGTATGGATTCTACTTACAAGACCAATCGATATAACATGCCTTTCTTTGAGGTAGTATGCGTGACACCGACAAACCAGAAATTTCTAGTTGGATATGTTTTCATGCGGTGGGTGTTGCAGAGATTAAGGGAGTTGATTGGGTTTGATATAGAGCCATCTGTATTTATTTCAGACCGTGATCTTGGGCTTTGTGCGGCTTTGAGAGAAGTCTTTCCATGGACGTCGCATTTACTCTGTCTATGGCACATCAACAGAGATGTGGAGGCTAAGGTGACGAAGATGTTTGGAAACAAGATGGTTGGTGTCAGTTTTAGAGCTGGGAGATGGTTCAAAATCGTGAATGCAACAACACAGGCGGAGTATGATCGTGCTCTAACTGCCATGCAAGTGAGGTGGGGAAAATATCCGAAAGTGATTCAGTATGTTCAGAGAACATGGCTTTGTCATTAGGAGAAATTTGTGAAATTTTGGACGAACCAGATTCTTCATTTTGGTAACACCACCAACTGCAGAGTTGAGAGCCAACATTCAGTAGTGAAAACTTGGTTTGAATCATCCACAGGTTAGTTGTATGATTTTATTAGTTGTTCTCGTTGTTACGTAATTGTAATTGTATTTGAATTTACTAATTAGAATCATTAGCAGGTGCTTTCGATACCGTATGGGCCCGAGTCCATTGTCATATCGGTAATCGCATCATACAAATTCGTAATGAGTTGGAGGCATCAAGGTCTAAAATTAGTCAGATGTACAGACAGTTGCCACTGTCACGTATAAATGGCAAAGTGTCTCAACATTGCTTAAAAGTTCTGGATAAGGAGACGAAAAGGATGCGGGATTTGAGTTACCAGGTCCATGAATGGTGCGGATGTGCTATGCGTGTGACCCATGGTCTTCCATGTGCTTGCTAGATACATGATTCGATAGTTTCACAGACAAGATTGTATAGTAGCCAAATTCATTCTTTCTGGAAGATATTGGTTATTGGTGATGGTGTTAACATTCCTGATGTGGTAAATGATTCGACCGAGGAGGCTGCACATTTTCGGTCCCTAATCGACGAAGTCATGGAAAGTGACCCAGCCGTACGCCGAAATGTAACGCGAATCATTGAAGAGGAGCTACATCCAGATCATTCACACCTTGAAGAACCACATATCAACCTTAACACTCGTGGTCGACTGAAGAGAAATAACACTAGGCGTGATCGTAGCTATTTCGAGCATGTGAACCGTCAACACACTCAACGTGGTGGTGACCTAGAACCAGGTAATACCAAAATTCTATATTTAATATAAAAATATGTAAACTTAATACTTGTAGCTTTACTAATAATTTATCTTTTAATTTTGTGTTGTAGATCCAAGTGACATTAGTCAATGCAGGTATTTGAACTTGCTTCCAGCCCCAATGTTGCCGTACATTATGTTTTGGAAGGATGTCATCGGTGATGGGAACTGTGGCTTTCGTTGTGTCGCCGACTTCTTCTTTGGCGATCAAAATCAGTGGTTTGACGCTCGGGAAACAATAGCGAACGAGATCGCTGGTCATCCTGCTTTGTACGAACGGATTTACGGGCTTGGGCGACTTTGGATGAACGTGGAGCGTATTCGATGGGATGGTGGGGCTGTCGGGGAGCAGCATTGGATGGTTACAATTCAAGATTTATTTCCTATTACTACGTGGTTCAACGCAAGGGTGATTTGTCTCGGAGTAGGCCTAGTACCAACTTGCTACTACCCATGCATCACAGTCTTACCGCTTAGGGCACGCAACGGGGTTCGGTCACCGACTCGAGAGTTTGTGATTGCTACAGTTGGTGGATCACATTTTATCCATCTTGACCTTGTACCTAATTCACCACTCCCGCCGATCGCCGGTTGGTGGACGGAACACCACGAGGATAGTGTCAATGGATGGGAACAAGTTTATCAATTGAGAAGGGACATGTGGGATGCATTAGTTAGGTAGTTTGTAATGTACATTCACTAACTTTGAACATTTGTAAGAAAATTAGAATTATGAAATTAATTTTAAATGTATTTGCTTTTAATCTAACATGATACGCAACAAAACATCAAATATAAAATAAAATAAGTGTCCAGTTTATACATTACATTTAAAAAAAAATTAAAAATAAGTTCATAACATAATTCAAACCACTAACAGAACATCTAATCAACAAAATCTAAAGTCCCATTTTTGACCTCCAATCAAATACAAGCTACTTAGTCATTGTTCGAGTCTCACTCGACATTTCAAGATACTTAGCTAGTGCTCTTTGGTGAATCTCCATGAACCGACCCATCCACTGCAAATCAAACAATAAGATATTATAAACACAAAAAATCATAGATTTCATTGTTAATATAATAATAAGCATAAATACTTACGTAATCAGTGTTAGTCCGCTCAGGCAGGTTGCTTGTAACTCCTGCACCTGGAGATACCCGCGGGTGAGAAAACCTGTACATCCATTGCATGTAACCAGGCGCAACCGAAGGAGCTGCAGCACTAAGCCTGGGTAGGGCACCTAAAACAACACTCTGAGATACCCCAGGGACAAACCTGTTCCACATCACAGCTGTCATCTCAGTTGGTAAGTCTACCCGATACATCTTCAAGTTAGTCGGCCTCTTGGCCTTCTCTGGCCTGATGATCTCGTGGGGAATGCCTTGCACGAAACAGAGCTTGCGCACCACTCTATCAGGCATGTACGGCTCAATGATATTACGGTACTGGATGCAGCCAATGAATAAAGTGGGGGGCACTCGTAATGCAGGATCAGCTCCGTACGGTAGCCAGTTCACCTCACGGTCAGTAAGCGCATCAATCCTAGTACGAAAAGCTAACAGGCGCTCCAGGTTCTTGCTAGGACATCCCGCTCCAACATCCCAAGCAGACGCACGAGGCATTTGAAGGTCCCGGGTCAAGGTACCCTGCTGTGGCCGAAAGCACGGAAAGTACTCGTAAATCCACGCTTGTAGAAGCGTGAGACAACTAGCAATCGAATCAGCACCTTTCCGTGATGCCGTGCCCATTTGCCGATACAAGTAGGCCAGTGCAGCTGTTCCCCAAGCATACTCGTTAATAGGGACATCCGTGTGACATAGCTCATGGAGGAAGGAAGGATGCGTACGGTTACCACTCTTGTCTACAAACAGTGTACCTCCAAGTACTAACCACAAGTATGCATCAAGCTGCTCACTAAAATCCCGGTCAACCGCCAATGTCGACTCAAAAATCTTATCAGTCAACACCCCACTACCCTGCCAAATGGTCTTTGTGCCGCAAACCTGAGACAGATCATCTAGAGTCATATCCATGGTGACCGAGCACGCGTCCCGTAACACGTCCGTGCTAGGAGTAGTGGTCACCATATTGCCTGTAACCCGTAACCCAAGTATGTTGTACACGTCGTGCAGCAAGATCGTAATCTCCCCAAATAGCATGTGAAAGGTGTTCGTATCTGGCTGCCACCTCTCAACAAAAGCAGAAATCAACGGCCAATCAAGTCTCTTAAACATCAGGTCGGGCAAGTGAGACAACCAACTAGCATCAATCGCCGCAAGGTCCTCCACAGATTGACGACCTCGCCAAGTGAACAAGTCAGAACATAACTTTGTCCTACTCAAACAGCGCAAAACACTACGCTCCTGCTCCATCCAGATATATACCGTGCCACGTGACCGCCAAAATTAGGGATAACTGACCCATCCTCAGGCCCACCCGGCATCGGTTCTTGCACTAACCATGCCTCTGCAGAGCTGGAAGTAGGCTGACTCGATCCACTACCAACAAATCTCCTAGACTGACCCCTATATACCATATGGAAATCCTGAGGGTCCTGTTCTTCATCCCGATCACCAGCATGACTAGTCGAACATTCTTCTTCCTCGTCAGATATGGGTGCTCCACTTGCAAAGTACAAGGGCCGACTACTACCAGACTGTTGGTCTCTCGACCAACCACTAGTAGACCTGTATTGCTGCTGCTCGGGCTGAAGCGGTGAAGATCGAGATGTCGTGATATTGCATGTCGAGCACCAGAACCCTCGATCTACATAAAATAAAAAAATTATCCGATTTTAGTAATAATAATAATAATAACAATAATAATAATAATAATACTATTATAACAACAATAACAACAATAACCATAATAACAATAATAACAACAACAACAACAACAACAACAACAACAACAACAACAACAACAACAAATACAAATTAACAACAACAAATAAACTTAACAACAACAATAACTAACTAACTAACAACAACAACAACAACAACAACAACAACAACAACAACAACAAATACAAATTAACAACAACAACAATAACCATAATAACAATAATAATAACACTAATATCAACAACTATAATACTAATCATAATTAAAAATATTAATAATAGTACTACTAATAACAATAACAATAATATTATTATAACACCAACAACAACAACAACAACAAAAATTAAACAACAACAATAACCATAAAAACCCTAATATCAAATTAGTTTAATAATAATACTAATCATATTTTTAAAAATAATAACACTAATAACAATAATAATAATAATATCAACAATAATAATAACAATAATAATAATAATACTAACCATACACTTCAAAATAACAACAAAAATAACAAAATCCAAAAAAAAAACAAATTAACAACAACAACAATAACCTTAACATTAATAATAAAAACCTAATATCAACAAAATAATAAAAATTATCATATTTTTAAAAATAATTACATTACAAAATATACTAACCATAATAATAACAACAATAATAATATTAATATCAACAATAATAATAACAATAATCACCATAACACTTCTAAATAACAAAAAAAAAAAAAATCCGAAAAAAAAAAATTTTAATTAACAATTTTATTAACGGGCAAAAAAAAAAAAAAAAAAAAAAAGAACTTCCGCCCAAAAATTCCGGAAGTTCCATGGAGGATCCGCCTGGAATTTTCGGATCCTCCATGGAACATCCAGAATTTCTGGGCGGATGTCACTTCCGCCCAAAAATTCCGGATGTTCCATGGAGGATCCGGAATTTCCAGGCGGATCCTCCATGGAACTTTCGGAATTTTTGGGCGGAAGTTCCTGGGATCCGAAATTAAAAAAAAAAAATTACCTCTTCGCCACCATCGCCGCCGCCGCTGCCACCAGCGCCGCCGAAGCTCTTCCCTCCGAATCTCAGCCTTTAAAATTGAATCACCCATTTTTTTTTTGTGTTTATGATGATTTTTGTTTTTTTAAAAAATGAAGAAAAATTTTTGAATTTTTTTTTTAAATAGAGTGTTTTAGAGAGTTAGAGAGTAAGAGAGTTGGAGAGTAAGAGAGTTAGAGAGAGAAGTAAGAAAGTGAGAAATGTTGGTCGGGAAGGAAAAAACCGTATTTATATATTAGGGGTAAAATTGGAATTTCAAGACAAAAAGGGAGCGTTACCCGGTAAAATGGGAGCGACAAATAACAACACCCTTTAAAATTGAAGCTGCTCTAAACTCCATTGAAGTGCATCACCATCACCACCGTTCATCAACCATAGATAATAATAATCAAAGGTAATCATCAAGCATCATCTTCGACCTTTAATATCAACCTTCGATCATATTAATTATCATGTGAGAAGCTGGTGAAGTGGTTCGGTCGAACCATGGGTTGGTGTGGCCGAACTACGGGTGTGTTCGATCGGACCATGGGTGTGTTCGATCACACCTCTTCAATTTAGAAAACTTCATATGTTTCTGACTCTTTTGGCACTTCGACCAAACTCCTCAACGGTTTGCCCGAACCTTGAGAATTTGCTATTTGCTCTGATTTTGGGCGCTTTATTGAAAGGTTGCAATTGGTGAGATGTTGGCTGCTATGATGCGGTGATGATGGTGTGGACTGGTGGTTTGTCGCAGCGGTGAAGGGGGCAATTTTGTAAGAGCTGCAGTGGTCAATTTGGGATTGTGGTGGCAAATTGATTGCGGGCTGCTCTGGTGTTGCTTGTGATTTGGTGTTGCGGGGTGGCTGTGAGGAGTTATTTTTGGTGTCAAAGGGAGGTGGTCAGGTGGTTTGATGGTTAAGGGGTGAATGTGGTGACTGATGGTGGTTTCGGTGTTTGGCGAATTGCGGGCTGCAATTGTTAGCTACTAGGTGTGGTGGAGGTTTCTGTTGAATGCAGGTGAATTGGAGAAGGGGAGTAAGGAATTGAGTGGTTGTGGTTTGGTGGTGATTGATGGGAGGTGGAGATGCGGTTGGAGGTTGATTGTTGCGGTGGTGATTGGTGGTTGGAATTGCAGGTCAGATGTGAATTGGTGGGCTGATTTGGTTGTGGTGGCAGTAAGGGAGTTGGTTATAAGTGATTGGTGATTGGCAATTGACACAAACCCAAAACCGAACTCACTTGACTTGAAACCCGAACACCTACACACAAAATCGAGGAAAGGAATTGAGACAAATAAAATAAAATAAATGAAATAGAAATAAATAAAATAAAAAAGAAAATAAAAGAAATAAAACTAAACTAATAAAAATTAAACAAAAACTATACAAGCGAATTCGAATAAAGTAAAATAAAATAACAAAATAAACATGAAGCTAATTAAAACTATGAAAGTAACAAAGAAAAGGAACGAAATAAAACAAATCGAAAGAAAATAAAATACAAAAATAAACTAGAAACCAGTTAAAGAAAGAAATTAAACTAAAACATATCAAAATCACTAGAAACTTTATTAATGACAAAAATGAGAATAAAAGGGAAAATAAGATAAAACGAGCACGAAAATAATGACTCTAAAACTACTCCCTTAGAGTGACATAAAAGTTACTTATCAAATTCCCCAAGCTTAGCTCTTGCTCGTCCTCGAGCAAGACAAAGATAAAAGAGAAAGGGAGTGAGTTATTCAAGCAAAGAAAAGACACTAAAGGAGATAAGAATGTACACTAACTCACTTTC